ATGAGTAACGCGTCATAGAATGCAGATATGGGCATGCAAAATAAACTTGTGAAAAGCTTGAAGTCTGGCGATTCTAAAAATATATACTTTCCCGGGTCTATTTGTAGTCATTTAGTCACAATTAGAAGATGAAAACAAGTATGCAAATAATAGTCCCGCTACCTTAAAACGCATTTCTATATTTAATTGCAATGTAATTTAGTTTAATTAAATTACAATTAAATCGCAACTCTTTAATATTGAGTCGAGTTTTAATCCACACATAACGCAACTATATTAAAAGTTAATCCAATGAATGTCGCCATAACTATGAACTGCATTATGACCTAATGGTACATTTAAACTACCTTAATGACAACCACGTTATTTATGAAATAGGTTGCAAAAGACTTAGGCCGCTCCGATGCCGCTTGTGAGTTTAATTTTAATCTTGTGTTAGTTTAATTCGGATTATTTTACATGGGGTTCCTCCTTTCCCACTAAACGTGTAGTTCTGTGTGACGAGACATCGCCGTTGGTAGGATGGATACATGATGGTTTAAATGCGGATGAAGACATTGAATTCACATCCGAGGCATCAACTGTATCTGCTAACTGGGGTGATTTTTACGATCCGGAGTCGAACATCGATAACTACTTTGTAAACGTATGGAGGAAGCATGCCGATGACGATGGTATGGTTCACATCAATAATTATTAATTTATATATGTTTTAACTTAATTTCTAATTGAATTTTGTAATATATGTGTTATGTTTTTATTTCAGGTATTACGGCATATCCTACAACCAACATACACGGTCCCGAGTCATTATCAGGCGCAACCTCCTTCATCAACTGGCATCATTTTCACCTTCACCATGGAGACTTTGTCTATATAGAATTAGAAGCTGTCAACGGGGCATTGAATTCAATTGTAGAGTCATCTGATGGTGTTTTTGTTGATCTCACTGAACCTTTATTTTATTATCTATATGACAGTGACGCGTCAGGAAATAGGTTACAACAATATACGGTAATCTTAATTGAAAAATGTATTACACATTCACATTTTTTATGAGAATATACGACGTTTTTTATGTTTCAATATTTCAAGTATCTCATATGATTTATCATATTTATTTTGTTCAAAGGTAGTTAAGGTAGAAAAAGTCCTCCTTCATTAACAATATATGATTGTCACCAGGCTAGATTTTGAGATATTGCATAATATCTCTGCCATAGGAACCTATGGTAAAAATGTCATAACATTGACAAAATGGCGAGTTTCCACTAAAATACAACCATCATTTTCTCGCAAAAAGAGCTGGTGACCCCAGACTTCTTTAGGTCAATATCCTTGTATTGTCTTGCAGTACAGTTTATTGCAAAATGAATAAATTCTGGGTATTTTAATTTAATTAGTGGGCTTCTACCTTATAAATACAACAATACAAAATATATGAACATGCCCATACAAGAAAAAGAATAAATCAATGTTGATTAAATAAAAAATATAAATTGTTAATAAAACTTACTGTAATCATATATACACAAAATTTCAACACGACATACATAGGCTTTACACACATTTGATCATGACACTTGGTATGCCTTGCTTTTTTTCGCAGTCTAGTGAAACACAACTCAGTGCGTCATGGGAATTTGGGGATCAAGATTCAGGTGTGGAGTCATATAGAATATCAATTTTTCAAACATATGGTGGATTACGATATCAAATATATCCAGCCGAACGGTAGGTAATCGCACATTCGCATGTGTGTAGATGGATGATAATCCGAGCCTATGTATAATAACATGTTTCTTTATCTTAACAACCAATAATCGTACAATATGGAAGTTCTGAACATTTTATAAAACTTTTATTTCTCGTTAAAAGTCAAATTCTAATACTATTTATAAGCATGGGTTTCTACTAAGTTGTGTTGACTTTCATGATCACGTGCATTCTCATTCAAGCTGGTACAATGTTTGGTTTCAGTGGAAGTCACGCAACTTTAGAGGGAGCCGCAACAAGCTGGACATCACAGGACAGTCTGGAATTAATTAATGGTGCACATTATAGTTTACGAATCATTGCTGTGAATGGTGCTGGACTCAGCAATGTTCAAGATACTGATGGCGTCATTGTGGATACATCACCTCCAAAGGTTAATTAAGGTTTTGATTGTTACATAAATAGTGTAAACCCCGGTCAAAGTCTATATACAGATTTATCGATCCCAAAAAACAATTGTTGTATCTAGTAGACAAATTATATATCAAGGCGACCATAGTTTATGTAATTGCGATATCATGATCACTGGTTTACAGTGCAATAACTGCTTTGTAATAGCATCAGATTAGCTAGTTATTCGGACACTCAAACATTCTCATTTACACCAAGAGAGAAGTGTTTGCTCAATGACATCAATAGAAAACTAAAAAATACTGTATTCAATTCAGTTTTTAAATGTGATTCAATTGTATTGCACTATTTTTTGTGCACATATACATACCTAATTTACATATACATAAATTATTCAGAGTTTCTATTAACAACCCAATTTTTGAATTAATTCACGATGTTTATTAAGAATTATTTGTTGCTTTGAGTGCTAATGTTTGTATATGTAAATTATATATTTGAATAATGCTCTCATTTTATTTTTTATAGATGAGACAGGTATCAATTGGAGTTCAAACAGCCAATTTTCCGGAAGAGGTAATTGATGGGAAAGTTCTCCAGTCGGACACTGAGGGCATTGTTGCTTACTGGATGGCTACTGATTTTGAGAGTGGAATAAGCGAATACTTGTTATGTCTTGGAACAACTGAAGGTAACAGCTCTCTGGCATTTATTTGTGAGCGCTTAAATATCATGTGACATTTGTAAGTTTACTGGTACTCGCTTACTGAATACATACCAAAATATATAAATACGCAATCTTACTAATTTGGGTGAAATTCGACCTTTTCTTACCTAGTAGACCTTCTGCAAGAATTTACTGTGCCACGTAGATTGTAGTTAGCGATATCAGTTCATTAAAAAAATGCTACGATGCAATATTGGAGTAGGATCCCAAAATACAATTAAATTACCATTATGTAACAGCAATATTCATATCAGGTTGGATTAGCTTATTGAACGATAATTACTAATTACTGCCTTTGCTTTTAGGTGGCAGTGACATTTTAGCTGATAAGAGCATGGGTTCTACGGAAGGCGGATATATTGGTGGAATAAATCTTGAGCTCGAATTAATTAACCATAAACTATATTATTTGTCGGTAAGAGCACGCAATGGTGCAGGTACGCTCTCTGATTACATGACATCTAGGTGAGTTAGTGGATATATAAAGAACGCACTTGATATATGACGGCTAACACGGAGCGAAAAGACCACTCAGCGTAGTCAATTGTGGTTACAATGAGAGTAAAATGATAATGTTATGACCATTGGTGGAGGAGATGTTTGAAATCAGACTGTATAAATGACGAAATTTATAAACTTAAACCATTTAAAAATGAAAATGCAAACACTGTTGCTTTATTATAAAGATATACCGTGCTTATTGGAGGAAACAATCATAATTTTATTACTTTACATTCATCATTGGTGTCTGCCCTTAAGCTTGGTAGTCTGTTCGCTCTGCTCAGGTGTTAATGGTAGTATAGTGTCATATCTAAAAACTACATAGCATCGATTTGATAACGTCATCACACAATATACAAGCTAATTAATATTTTTCAGTCTATTGATAATGATTTTGTCGTTGTTTCATTTACAGTCCAATAAAGGTTGTGGCGAAGGATAAAGTCGGATTTGTAAAAGATGGACCGAATGACCCAGATACAGATAACCCCGATGTTGATTATCAGAAAGAAACTGGTACGGTAACCGCCAGATTTACTGGGTTTGAAAGTGCACAGCATGGCATTGTTCACTATGAGTGGGCGGTAGGAACAGCGCCACGACTAGATGATATTCAACCATATGTTAGCTATGGAGTGTTCATTGAAGAAGGTGAAGTCCAATTTTTACTTAAACAAACAACCACTTTATTAGTCTATATATAATGAGCATTTTGTTACATTGGGCGCTGAAGCAACTTTTATAAACATATGAACGACTTGATTTGGTTGAAATTGTGACGCGAAGCACATTCTATATGTAGCACACGAGCAGAGCCATTGGAACACTTCCAGTAATGTTTGACTCAGCTTATTGAAATTTCAGAATTATTGTTTGTTTTGTGTTATTTTTTACTCCCGACTCTGTGTATGTTCCACTGATATCTCAAGAACCAATTTTAATGAAGCTGGGTACATAGATGTTCTTGATCAATGTCCAATCCTGAATAGTTTCGTATGAATTTCGTGAATATTAATTACCTATTTTACATATTAATCAAATTCCAGCGTTTTCACTTGTTTCTCATGTACTATTAAACATATTTCAATAAAACCTGACACATCGATTCTTTGGGATAATATACATACGCGTTTAGTTTTTGGTTTAAATCCATACAATTTGAAGCATTTTCACTTGTTTTTCAACATATTTCAATTATTTTGTTGTTGAAATTACCTAATTTGCATAATTTGCCATGGTTAAGCTTTTTTACTTTTTGTCAAAAACATTCAATAGATTTCAGTAAAACTCCGTTTAGATAAGCCATATACAAGTTCAGTTTAGCGTACAATTTTGTGTTTACTAATTACCTAATTTGCATATATAAACCCATTTATAGGTACTTCACAGATAACTTGAATACCATATAATGTTATATGACTATGACAACATGTTGTCATTTGAACACAATACTATGCAGAACTGTAATATGTTAAGTTCTGTTGCAAACAATGCTATAATTGTGTTGTTTGACAAGATATATAACCAAATCATCAGATATGGTTATTATTTCATTAAATATTTATGATTATAAATCATATCCATTTGATCATTCCTTACAATTATAGTGTTAGATGCTGTATTTGCTCTATTAGAAGCACATTTGCTTACTGCAAATATACATGACAAAAACAAGCCAATGGTCAAAGTAATACATATTTCAATGATTGTGCATACAATAAACGGAATTCTTGCTTTAACTGTATTGAAGATGTGCTTCTTAATTGCACTTCCTATCTCCAATACCTCCAGCACGGGAGTTCATTATAAGATTTATTTGATGTCACAGTTGGTTGTTTCATTTTTTTTTTTGATTTTAGATTCTACCCTAGTCACTGACGTGCCTTTAAGTTGTACGATCTTCTAAACATTTTAGGTATTTTAAACGCGATAAGTAATGAAATACTGTGATTACATATTTGTTTGATTAATTTACACACCAGATGTAAGTGGTTCTGTGGGACACAGTCAGTCGTTGCTGCCACTTAACTCAGGGTCAACTTATTACACAACGATAAGAGCAATTACTGGCGCTGGAAATGTATTAGATTCTACATCTGATGGATTTACCGTAGACACAACACCGCCAAGTATCACTATCACATCGGCTGGACGGTCTTCTGACAACGAGACAGCATACCTGTCGAACAACAACAATATCTATCAGGTCTGTTCATGATTAATTAACAAATTTGAATTCGTAGTATGAAATACATTGATTAATTTGTAAGCACGTTATTTTATATTCTTTTAGAGCCCATCTGACTCGTTCCTAGCAACATGGGATATTTTTGAAGAGGAAAGCGCAGTGAGCTACACGGAAGTATGCTATGGCAGTTATCCGGGTGGCAATGATATACACAGTTGTACAGATGCAACAGGACTCAACAACTTACTAAATGCAGGAGTGTGGCCAGAAACCACCGGGGTGGCTAATTTCATATCTATCACATCCAAAAACCGAGTGAGTACATAATGGTACCGATATTTCCTAACTGTAAATTATTCTCATTTGGCTGGCAAATTGCAGTAACTGTGTTGAACATACACATAATCTGTTTTAATTAAAGGTCGGTCTAAAATCAACTACTATATCCAACCCAATTATCACTGACACGACACCGCCTGTAGCGGGTACTGTGGAATGCCAAGAATACCTTACTTCATCGGAACCAATATCTTGCGCATGGGAAAACTTCGAAGACACGGAGAGTGGGATATCTCATTATATATTTGGCATTGGGATATCAGAAGGAGATGATTCGTTGTTTTCTTTCACGATAGTTCCTGCTAACACTGATAAAATATCAGTAGAAGGTACAACTATTGCACTGACATAGTATGAATGATGGGTATGATATATAATGCATTAATTCTTAAGGTGTGCACGACTCGCGATTAAACGTACATATGTGAAATTGTGTTCGCATTTGTTGAATGAAGTCACCACGTTTTTATTTTCTTTATAGTTCACTACACAATTGGTTTTGTACATGTTTGCAACGTAATTGTCTTTGTCATGGTTTCAGAATTGACCATTAAGCATCACAATACCTATTATGCAACCGTGTTCGCTGTGAATAATATTGGAAGTAAAACGGCTGGATATTCGAAACCGATTACATTCGACGATACTCCACCAATAGCCGGAACAGTAGTGGTGTTGAGCGGTATCGACACCGTCTATAACAGTACTGAAAACGTCACCCATCCTGTCGGCTGTGAATTCGGAGGTAACTTGCCCTCAAATTACAATAATAGCCGATATACTATCGAAAGATACATAATTTCTAAATCATAAAAACTTAAAGCAATAAGCCTGTAATAATTAATTTTGATTGTTCCAGCTTGTGTCAACCCAAAAGACGCGGTATGCCAAACATCGTTTGACCGAATATTTGTAACCTGGCAACAATTCGAAGATTTCGAAAGCCCTATAGTTAGGTACACATGTTTTCATGATTTACTCATATATGCCTTCAATATGTCAAACCTTTAACAGATATTTAGAAGTTTCATTTGTGTGATTTTTCAGTATTTTCATAAATTTTAGGTACCAAATAGCAGCTGGAACAAGTCCTGGCGGCACTCAGTTGAGGGATTTCTTCGACACTACAAGTTTAGAAAGACAGGCCATGATAACGGGACTCAGTCTGTACACGGTTAAACAAGCTTACGTCTCGGTCAGAGGTTTCAACGCAGTTGGGCAATATAACACAAGTATATCGAATGCGGTATACATCAGTCGAGTGAGTGCAAATCTTCCACCGATTGGAGAAAGTTATGTGTGGGATGGACGTCAAGATGGAGATTTGTGAGTATGGGTTTGCACTACTGTATAAACATTTGTTTATAACTATATTTCTTATATAATAACATATATGTTGCTAATCTGTGTTCTTTCAAACGTCTGTGTATATAACAGAGACTATCAAGGTGACGAAGACGAGCTATCAGGTCATTGGAACTTTAATGGTGATCCGTGTCCAATTGCAACATATGAGTGGTCGATTATGAGGTTTGATGGAACTGTAATCACGCCAATGATGTTGCTACCTGTTGGTAAAAAGATTCTAAATATTCTAACTTCGCTACAGACGTGAAAATATATCAATTTAATTATATATCTGATAGATTTTTACACACAATTCCAATGTAATACAATTTTTGCTTTGACTAGGCTCAACTTATGGCTTGTATGATGGTCTGAATATGAAGGATGGAGAGTCGTTCTATATCGTTGTTAGGGCGACAAATCTACTAGGATTCACATATTCTCTGCGATCTGATGGCATCACAATTCAAAAAGAATCACTACTACCAGGAAATGTCAGAGATGGTGATATTTGGGGTTATGACTTGAATTCCCAAGCGTCAGTAACATATCTAGCAGCAAACTGGGATGGTTTTGGAATAGATGGTAGTAAGTATTTATTTGTTCACACACACTATATACCAATACTGCACACCAGCAAGAATAATCAATTTAGTTACTTTTTAAAACACTGCGATAAAGCTTTACGTTTTCAACACTGTGAAATTCTATTTTTGAGGAAAATAATTTTAACAACTGATTGACAGTGATTTTCAGAGATATATTAGGAATATTTCATAACGAAATGTAACTCCTATGCATACAAATAATGATTACCGATTATACGCGAATATTCATGGCAAATATAGTTTGTTATATTCTCATAAATTCCATTTGTCTTGAATTATGACTGAAAGCTGCTGAATGAAATCACAAAATATGTAGCGTGTTTAACAACTTATATATGAACAACAACTTTTAGTAAAGATTGTATTTTTTCCCCATAAAACAGAAAGAATTTCACAATATCGAAAACGGAAAGTCTCAGTAATGTTATAGTTTGAGCTCATTACTCATACACCAAATGGATATCTTTAACTCTACATATGAATGCCACAAACCTGAGAACATATTGTATTTCTATACCAGCTGGTACCCAAGAAATTGAACATTATGAAATAGCAGCTGGGACAGACAGGAGATATCCAACGACTAGATACGACATTCAGCCCTTTACCAACGTGGCGCTGAACACGTCATATACGTTTCACGACCTACGCCTTGTGCCTCGTCGACTCACGTATTATATTACTGTAAGAGCATTCAGTGTATCAACCTCAATGGCAGAGGTAACATCCAATGGTATTAAAGTTGGATATGGCGGCCAAGCTATTTCTAAAGGGGAAATCCATATTTCCAGGTAACAATTTTCAATTAAAATATGTCATACAAATTTTATCCAATATGATCGTTTATTGGTATTCAAGTAAACGTTTTTCATTGTATATAGGTTTGTTGCATCAACAAATACTGTAAGTCTGTCGTGGAATGACTTTGAATTTGGTATGCCCGTAATGTTTTATCAGCTGGGGATAGGTCACAGCAATGAAGAATGGAATATGATTTCCTGTAAGGATTTGGTAAGACTTAACAATTAATTGTCATATATATGTCGAATGGTGGTTTTTTCATTCTTTAATTTATTTTGTGTTTCATATACAAATAAATGCATGCATGTGGACTTTCTTTAGCAAATATATAATGACGACGGCCATTTGGGACAGAATATGAAGTTTTCACATATGTTTGATCAATATCCATTGACGAATGTTGGAAAGGACACGACAATGCAAATAACAAACTTGCTACTTGAAAATAACGAAACTTACACTGTAGTAGTCATAGCAACTGACGAATCAGCTGAGTGTATGCTGTCTTCTGTGAATATAACAGTGGACTTGACGCCACCAAAAGAAGGCGTAGTACTAATAGGAGCTTTCCCCAATCTTGTAAGCATCAATTTATTAAGTATTCTATCATGTATCTAAGTATTCATAACGCAATTGAATTGAACATGCAATTAAATATATTACTGATTGCAATAATTAAATGTAGCATAATTTTAGTTAACAAATACATTACAGGCAAACGCTTACACCGACCGAAATGATAGACTTTCTGTTTCGTGGCATGATTATTATGACATGGAAAGCGGTATTGAAAGTTACGCCATGACACTGTATGATGGTGTATCGTGTGGTTATACTGGGAAATATATAGTGTTACAAAACGAGATCAAAGTTCCGTCAACAGATAGCTCTTACACCTTTATTGACGTGGACTTACAGGTATGAGTCTTATTTATATAATTATATATATGACGTATATTCAAAGTACTGTAGTTAAACAGGTATTTTTTTGTGAAATCAGGTTTTAAATAATCTAGCAAATATTCATGCAATGGCGCCGTGTTCAGTACTACCCAAGTAACATTTGCGTTCACTAAAATAATTTATATGTTTGAAGTGAAGTTTTTATTATTTTCCCGTTGGGAATTACTTTGATTTTGTGAGTGAATAGCGGCAAAATAGGTCGCACATGGTTATTTACGCTAACAAAGAATATAGCACAGACTTTGTACATTTTCTATGCTACCATCATGTTTCATATATATTGTTAACTCCGAGATGAATATATTGTATGGGTGTGCTTATATTGAATAAACAGAATACATTTACAACCCCTATTAAGTAAATATAGTAGATGAATTTGCATCTAAAAATGTTCTTTCAAAGAACTCTCGGATGGCTGAGCGGAACACAACACACATTTGTATAAGTTGCTACGTACGTTGGAGTAACTCCTCACCTTGTTTTTCCATTCATTTATATGTGAATATGCTTTAACTATTTACAGCCTGAAAGACCATACTATGTGCAATTAAGTGCAATCAACAATGCTGGTTTACATACCACCACAATTTCAAAACCCATTTTACTGGATCTGACAGATCCAATTCCTGGAATTGTGAAAGACGGTATATCTTTCAAAACGGATATTACATACCAGAGTGATACGAACAGAATAGAGGGTAAGTTAGACAATTACCATTCTATCATTGTAACGTGCCGGTAATGATCGTGTACAGGAACAAAGTAATACTCTATTTGATGTTTATTAGGTGCCTTCCTTCATCGCCCTACATCAGAGGGGGACGCATGCCCTAGCCTACAGTTTTCGATGGAAGATCAGATAGATGCCTATGGTTGGGCATCTGTTAATATGAAAGGTGTATGGGGAGTTGGTGAGATTCATGTAATGTTCAGGGAAAGTCAGGTAATGATACGATTGAATCATTGGGCATTTAAATATATCAACATGTAGTACTGCAAATATAATAACTACAGTATGGTACATTGTAATGTTGGCTGATAATTTGTAACTCTTTAAATCTTAATAAAGTTATCCTTTGGAGGGTCAGATGGCATGGCAATAACTCTTTCAAGGGATGTCAAAGATGAGCAAGTATATTCAGGGGCCTACACTTACAATAATCCTGGCATTGCCGAGGGAGGGAGATATAAGGTATGTTTTTCGGCATTATATATTTTGGTTTTGCTTAACACGAACAATACATAAAGCAAACGCATGTGTACTCTGTTTGTTGGAATATTGGCATATGAAATGTAATGCTTTTAACGTTTCGGCAGTTCGATATGATTGCTGCTAATGGTGATATCCCGGCTGTGACCAGCGTAATATTTTGGGATGGACCAGATGGAGTTGTTGGTGATTTCAATGCACCAATTGGTGAAAAGGATTGGGCTGACAATAACAGAGAGTATGACAATTGTGCGTTATGTTGTGTCTACAATGACACGGGCTTTGACAATGGTAAGATTATATTAGTGGGTGTATAAATAATCAGCACTGTTAGCGATGTTGCTAAATCTCACTGTTCCATTAATTTTACATGTCACCATTACTTTGTATGAGGTATATGCAAATATTACACTATCAAATTTTCGACGCTGCAAGCACGTTTTAAGAGAACAAAAACCATGATCCACGTATCTATTAAAACGTATCGACTGCAAGGTAAGATTTGTTTTATACAATAATAATGCACAACACCGACAATGTCATCAACTGTTTTTTCACAGATAACAGTGGCTGCGACTGTAACTGTACAGTGTATTTTCAGCGAACTACTATTCTGGCGACAACAACTACTGAAACTACAACCGCCACTATTGAACCACTTGCTACTACCAGTTTACCCTGGGCCATCGTCGAAGATGATAATCCTGACTATACATACACCGGTGAAAAATCTTTCAAACATATTACCCACCAATCAATGGGGATCCAGCTTCACCCAGGTAGATTTTATTTACAACTGCTATTTCAAAAATGCCCTTTTACTTGTATTGTTTAAACGACATTTAGTTCAATCCAATTACAACGTAACTTTCATATTTGTAGCTAGATTTGTAATTACCTTGAAACTGCTGCCGAATGTAAATAACTTTGACTGACAAATAATGTTATATAGTGGTTACATGTAAAAATGTTTATTCACAGATATCAAAATTGATGGTGACATCAAACACTACATTGTACTGTGGTTTAAATTCAAAAACGACACAGATGAAGTGCAATATGATATCACAGAGTTGGAATTTGACCCATCAGATTCGTGGCATTCGTACATCCTCGACGTAGTATCCAATATGGTAAGTTTTAATGTACTAACGATTACAGTTTAAAATTTATGATAAGTTCATAATTCAGAGTGTATCACATGAAAGTGACTCGAGGTTGTACTACGTACATCGAAGTACATTTTGGGTATTATGTTGTGCATTAACCTCTATATAACTTACTTGAACTGTGCTTGCTATTAGGAGGAAATGTCAATACAGCTTCTGGTCGATGATAATCCATGCTTATACCTGTCAGGGTTACCGTCTTTTAGTGAAACTGCCAAGTTTATTTTGACGTCATGGAATAGAGATGGAGTTGTACCTGATATAGACAGAATATTCACGCCTCCGAACTCTGTCGCACATTTTAGGAATATAAGGTCACTTTTCCTGTGTATAGTCATTATATGTTTGTTGGAATAATATTACCTGTAACCGTGTATTTTATGTATTTTAGGTTATATGTTTGTTGTGAACCAATTACGATTTATAATTCGGTACCTCTAAATGTATATATACAGTACTTTCACTTCACACCACTAGAATGACAGATTGTAAATGCGGCGTTTGTTTAGTTGTTCGGAGAAACTCATCTATGCTTGCAATAGCAATTATAGCGGTTTTGTAGAGGTGGCCGCAGATATCCCTCTGGTAATTCTAACGAGATTGGATGTTTCTTGTTTCAGATTTCCACCCGAGTCAAGTTCATTGTGTCGTTTTGGTGCCCCATTCCGGAATGGAGATAACAGTATTGTAGCATTTTATGCAGGCGTTGGATCTGCAAGGCTGCTGGATGACATCGTTCCATTTAGAGAGGCACGTTTACACTTTTAATCATTTAACTAGCTATTGTGTCATACAAAATGTAGTCCAGGACTGGAATCCCCCTTCTATCCATGTCAGGCACACTAGTCATTTATCACTGGGCTAATGATTATGTGTGGACAGAGCGTACATTTACACGTGTATTAGCAATTGTTATATTTATTTATGCTGTTCCGAGAACAAACTATAAAATCAGGAAATTCTTTGAAGTTGTACTTGTGACATTTTTCTGTAATCTACAAAAGTAGAGACATTCCTCATTATGATGAAGCCGCTTTAGCAAGCCCTGTTTATATTGCAAACTAAAATATATGCAACTATGCAATGAAGTCCAAAATATTAACAAGTAAAATGCCTAAAAAGAGCATCTCATTCTTCTATGTAAATCTCTGACTATTGCCTTACTGTTATATCTACTTGAACACATATTAGGTTGCTCGTCCCTGTCAACCGTGCGCCCTATCTTGCGGCGATATAAACTGCGACGGTAGTTGTTTAGAGGACATTACAACAGAGTTCAAAGTTGTTTTAGATGGTCTACAGTTGACTCCTACTTCTTCTTTGCAATATAATGAACCATATAATAATCTTCCATCGATTTACCATCTTTCAATTAAAGCTCTTACTGGTGAGTTTATTTTCTGTTACCATCAAAACAATGTTAACATGTATGACTGGAAAACGTTCAATTGTATACACTTTTCAACTTGAGAACCCTTTCAGAAATGTCAAATTGATGACCTTAAGTTAACTTGTTTTGTATTTTTGCTTTTGTTTGTGCAGCATATCTGATATCTTTATTGAAGAACCAATCTACTAAACAAGTTACCATTGTATAATTAATAGTACCAACCAATTTTAATGAAAATACTATTCTATTGGGTTTAGTTTATAATACATCATAGAGTGTTTACTAATGTGCAACATTTGTAATTGTTGTGCTTCTAGGCTCTGGTCGTTATGTGGTTGCGTCTTCTGATGGTGTATATATTGATGATTCCCCACCTGTTTTTAACTACCTTTATCACGTGGATATGTCAAGGTCTGAAGATGAAACAATTACATATCAAGGATCTAACTCAACAATTGCTGTAAAATGGAGTGCATATGACATTGGAAGTCAGGTTGGCGAATAACGTAATATTGAAGAAAGATAAGTTCATTGGATATTATTTGACTGTAATTATAGGATCACTAATTAATATCATGTTGTTAAACTTTTAGCTATATGAGTTTAGATGGGCTATTGGCAGTGAACCATACGGAACAGATATACAATCATTTCTCTCTGTTGGCGTAACTGACTTTGTAGAGAACAGTGGACTTTTTGGACTCATAGAAGACGGAAACACGTATTTTGTGACTGTGGAAGCAGTCAATAATGCTGGCATGACCACTGTGCAGGTGACCTCAGGTAAGAAGCTTTTGAGTTCAAGTTTAACTGTATACGTGCAACTATTTAATTATGACGTCTTATTTTTGGTGTAGATTAATATAGAGCAGCGTTCTCTGGTATGTGGCCTAGAGCCTCAGAATGGATGTTAAGTAAGCATTATGCCCAGAATTTATGCTTCTGTTGTGAATGGAGCAGTCCATGTAGTGTAAAGCGGCGTATGGTCTATTCTTTCATCTGCGAAAGAGTGTGCCTTAAAATCGCCATGCCCAAAGCGATGCATGGTCTGTTGTCATGGTCGATAGAATAACAGTAGAGTTCTGAATAATGATAATTTCCGCAATAGTAGATATGTGATTGACATTATGTGTGTGACTATCATATTTTAACAGGAGTAACATTGGTGCTAACATCACCAAATATAGATGCTACAAAGACTGTTTTGAGTTGTGATAACATGGATACCAGTGTGCCAGGCTTGGTTTTGTGTGGTGACCAGTCCAACATTGGCATGATGTGGGATCGGATAGACGATGATTCCATTAATGGTTATTGTATGTATATTACCAGTGTTTTATTATTTATTTATTATTATTATTATTATTATTATTATTATTATTATTATTATTATTATTATTATTATTATTATTATTTATGTTTTCGAGACTGAATTCACTATTTTGTCTGTATCATTTCATATTTAAGTGAAATAACAAATAACAAATATTGCCTTTATGTGTGTTTTCAAGTTTTTTCAATTGGAAGTGCAGAAGATTCTATGGACATTTTCCCGGAATTACAAGTAGGTTTGAATAACTCTGGAGAGATTCAGATAAGAGATGGTTATGTTTACATCGGAGATGAACCTCTCTATAATATGTCCAGTTTAAGGAGAACAAATGAAGGCATAGCAGGCAATAACGACGCACTTGATACTGAATTCGGCGACATATTTCACATGGAACCAGGACGGTTAGTGGCCTATGCATTAGCAGTAATGGAATGAGCACTTAACATCTGTGCATCCCTGCATTTGTCCATACATATATTTTGAAAAATGTCAGGTTCGATCACGTTACACATACATCATATATACCTATGGGTTACATATTGACATGTACTCCTTTTTGTGTTCTGATTTAAGATGACCGAATGGATGTCATTTTAGTTGGAGTTCATGAAAATCGATCATTTCTGCCCTTTCGGAAACATATATCTGTCTCGTTTCATCAGCTCAAACATAGATACATAAATGGGACATTGATGCACGCCACTTTGTATACCAAATTCAAAATCTAACTGAAATGTTATCAATGTAAATCTATTAAGATAACCAGCCTGTATGTGTATAAAATGCGTTAATGTTCTTCAAAAACCGTAATTCTATATACATATATATTATAGGATCCTATTCTTAAAGTTAACTGCTTGCAATAAAGTTCATAAATGTGGAGTCGTATCCTTGGTGAAGTCTACAATAATTCGTGAGTATATAGGCGATATATTTAGATATTGTCTTCTTCTTCCACTGGGATCTATAGAAAGTGGTTTACCTAATAAGTAATTTGATTGGTCGACTGGTTTGGCAACCATCTTGGATTGAAGTTGATTAGAAAGTGGCAATTTAGAATCCTTTCCGATGGTCTAGTCATTCTAAATTGTTTGTAGTAAAATTATTACGAACTATACGAATGAAAACATTAGTGGTCATGTAATTATAATAATGGCAAAAAACACTTATAAATCTACTTCCTAATCATTGATTGAGAATTGTTTTAACATCCATGTATGCTAATTGAAGTTTGTGGAGCTCTTTGTGATTGGACAAATGCTTTGACTGCCATGTTTGATTTCTTAAAACACAGATGCCATTTTTTTGAGATTTTTGAAATGTGCCTTGTTGCATTTTTATACCGAACTCCCTCGGCCAGCAAACAAATAATTTGGATAAGCTAGATTTCGGTCAAAATGCCAGAAATGATATTCTAAATACTGTTTTAATCAACTGGATATTTATCATGTAGCTAAATCTTATCATGGAACAACAAATGACCAGTCACATGGTTTGACAAAAATAGCCACATTTACATGTGTGTCTTATGAATGCTTTAACCAATCAACTTGCCATTTTGCATGTAGCATGTATGACCGATCCGTGGTAAATCATGGCCATTCCAGGATGTAAACTCGTTCTTACAAATAAATAAATACAACATTAGTATATTAGGCCCATTTTATATGATATTTCAATCGTGTGCATGCGACGCAAAACTTAATATATTGCCAAATATTTTGATTTTAATTATTTTCATGAGATAGCAAATTTAGTATTTTTTGGCAAATTTTTAATTCATTATCAGTATCAGTGTGTTTAAATTTCCGCGAATTAATATTATGGCATTTTACGTCTGTCAAATAATGGCCAAATAAATACGTGGAATCATTAATTACTAAGGACCTGGCGTAGAATTGGAAATTACTCCAAATAAACAAATGTCCAATTCGGGAACAGGATAATAGTATATTTGGTTATTGATGAAATAGTAGGGCGCCACCAGACGGACTGGCTTAGCAAGTGCGTCGTGTTTCGTACACAAAGGAAGCCGCTCATCCCGCCATTGGATGGCGGCAAATCGTGTATGTGGTGTTTACAAAGGACGTGCAGATGATCCGTGGTTCATCGTGACCAATAATAAAATGATTGGTTGTCCAACTGTGGGCGTGTCTTTTATTTCTGTGCTAAATGTGCAACACCAAAGTCCCGCCATTTATTTCTCATGGTTGTTCAACCATAGCCGTCTGCACTAGTATCGCGAGTTCTAAGTTTGGTTGACTCAGTGTTTACTATGTTGGTAAAACCGCGCAAATTCATTTAACCGCCACTTTACAGCGGTTTTCACACAGACATCAGTTAATTCCGTTACCCAATGGCTGAAGCAATTTCACATCGACCAGACACGCCCCAAAACAGATGACGAGATTTGACAGGATCGGCCAATGCGCATGTGTATAAAACAGCTGTTACTAATATCCTAATTTCCTAATAACTTATTTTGCACTCGTACAATGCAAAATACATATTTGATTAGGTTGGTTGGCCATCAAGTACCATCCTATGGCACCAAATTCATATATCATCAATACCATAGGACAGAGTTATGTTAACAACGAGTCACAAATATGACTAATACACTATTTTTTTATTTAATTAATTGTAAGGATGAGATTACATTGTGAAATGGCCATGATGTACCACGGATCATGACCAAAGCATCTTCTGAGAAAAATGAAATAAATATCAGTGGTTACATATTAAGGCATATTCAGCCTTCAAACTTGGACTCAACAAAGTTGTTCTGCTGTTTTAAGTGTAACTGCGATTGTATATATTTTGCAGGAGAAGATGACACAATGCGGAGAGCGAGTGACAACTCAACAGTTGTTATATCCTTACAAGAAAAAAATGGTATAATAAAGAATGACACTCGAAGAACTGTTTCAATTATTGGCCTGTTTCAGGACATAACACAATATGGTATGGCGAATAAACAAAATACGATCATACAGAGAAATAATTAATTCTGTTAATGTTCATGTGCTACTTTCAACTTAAGATATAGTATGCTTGGGTATTCACTTCAGGACTCACTGTTTGAACCATGTGGTTCTCATACATTATGACATTCAAATATTTTCTACATGTATATACCCATACATTGATTAGTACCCAATTGCTTGCATTTCAGACCCTCTCGATGATGGCAGGGTTTTGATTGCCGGTATGTTGTCACAGGAAGACTTAGTGGTTGAGTATGCATCTGATGCTTCGCCTGACTTCAACCCCTACATTGTCAACCCAGAAACAACCAAAGAAGAAAGTGACAGATTTCTAAAAGAAAGGTATATAGCGTGTAATCTTGATATGGCTGACACTTTCACCATGTGTTGTGCACAAACAAATGATTGTATTTATTTTCCAGGATCAAAGATATTGTAGGACCTTCATTCTTTGTAAGTTATCCCGGTGATCAATATATGGGTGGTCCATTGTATATCAGTGTGAGTGTGGATAAAGATGTCTTGAACGTTACTGATGATGTTCCTCGTCCACATATTATCTTTTGGCACACTGGTGAGTAAAGTGAGTGAGTGAGTGAGTGAGTGAGTGAGTGAGTGAGTGAGTAGTGTGTGTGAGTGAGTTAGTTCATTCGTGGTATATTATTGTTTTAGGTTTAATAGTTTGGACAAAAGCAAACAGTGTCTTTTTAAAATGTGTAGATAATTAATGATGCATATGGTTAAACTTATTCATCTTTCTTATTGCATAGTATGAAATCTGACACTATATTGTCAAAACATTGTATTGCACTGTCAAAAGAGCAAAACGTTGTAAATATATAATTACTAATCTTTCTTATCGCATAGTATGAAATCTGGCACTATATTGTCAAAACATTGTATTGCACTGTCAAAAGAGCAAAACGTGGTAAATATATAAATACTTGTTATATTTTTGTCCAGAATTGCAGCAATGGAAAGATGCTAGTCATACTTGTGAAGATAGCTTTGGTGACTACACAACTGATTTGGCGAACTCTTTACTAACTGTCAAGGTATAATTGACGTTATATCAGTTGATATTTTAATGGTTCAAATGAAGCTTTCTCTAAAACATAATACTCATGATTTATACCATATTAACTAGTTTTCATATTATATCATATTAACTAGGTATGTTCAACAAAAGTAACAGTCAACTCACCAATGAAGCGTAGATCGACTGGTAATGACATGTTCACAGGGTCATCAGAATTCACTGTTGCAACTATTGGGACATTTGTCAATTCCCCTCCTCGAGTTACGTCACAAACTAATATGTGGATGTCGGAAGATTCTGGAACATTATTTTTCTCTTTGAAGGCAGTTGACAGGGAGGGCGATATAATTATTTTCAAGTTAGATAGTTCGTTTCCTGAAACAGAACTTGGAACCCATAGATTGTCATCCGATGGTAATCTTTCATTTCGACCGTGCCTTGATTGTTTTGGTATAGCTCAAATCCATTTTCTTGCAGTGGAAGAAAGGTATGATGAATTTGAGGTTTTGTCGACACCATCAATACTGGTCATTGATATTCATGAAATCAATGACAACCCAGTTATATTTCTGACTGTCAACCATGTGACGGAAACACAAGGACCCAGACATAGTTACACTCTGGAACAGCATAAGACCACCGATCTTCTACAAAACCTGTTTGATGGCATTGTTGGGGCTTTTGACGTTGACAATTATGACTCAATAACATTTCTCTTTGATCACCCTAAACATGGACAACTCCTGGTGGGCAACCAAATTAATCAACCAACGTTTACTTACCAAGACTGCTCTCAACTCGTAAACATCACTAAGGACGTGTTAACGTATGAAAATAGTGACTGTAACTTAGTAATGTTTCCATGTGGATTACATATTCCACATGACGTTGACCAATTGGCGTGGGCGTTCCGTGCCTTTAGATATATCCCTGATGACAATTACTTCGGTAAAGATACATTTGAAATTGTCGCCATTGATACAAGAGGTACATATTCAGAGGTACTCATAGTCGATGTGTATATACTAAGTAATCCATGTATGAATGGTGCAGCATGCCAAGGTCCAGCCACTGATATTGACTGTACAGGAACTGATAGATCCAATGGTTTCAGTGGATATGAATGTGTATGTCTTCCTGGGTATACTGGAGAGTATTGTGAACAAGATGTCAATGAATGTGAACCAAACCCATGTGAATACAATTACACATGTACCGACCAGGTATGTATGTATATGTACACATTGTCATGTCAATTGAAGGTGCAACATAAGGTATATTGATAATAAACTAAAACAGGTAGTTATCTTGATGTTTCTTGACCGACATTGTGTATAGTTTTGGGTTTGCGCCTGACTACACTATTTTGCATGACATCGAACACCGCTTCGGCTTCACCGTCCCCTGTATCACTTGCAGTATGCTGTTTCAATCTTAGTCCGATTTTTACCAACAGTAACAACTTTGTTGTGCTGTTGTGGAACGATTGAAACAGTTCACTTTATATAAAAAGGAATCTCGGCACTGGATATCCATGAGTTCCGTCAAGGCGGTAGTATCATGGCCGCTAATCTTTAAAGTTGATCGCAACATAACTGGTCCTTACTACATACATCATTTCTGAAGATATTCGTAATGTGACGGCCCAAATACATTTGCTAGACAGTTAATAACAGTTAGTAACTAGACAGTTAATCACTAACTTTGTTGCAGGTAAACGGATTTATTTGTCACTGTGATAACTACGAATGGCCATGCGGAAAAGAGGAAACTTCACTTACAATGATCATTGTTGGTGTATGCGCTGGATTGATATTCTTCATTTTGGTCAGTTTGGTCTGGCGAAGAATGTACTTAAAGAAAAAAAAATGATGATTATTAGGTAATTATTTTAAAGCTAATGATATTTTGAGAATTATAAATGCACTGTAAATATCAAAAAATAGTCATATCAATTATATATTAGGATTTTATTTCATTATTGAGAAATACATATCCAATTTCAGCCCAGAAAGATGTGACACGCCTTTACACGAAATTGCATTGTTTGATATGCAAACTACTGATGTTCCTTGTTCTGCGATACATGTGGGGCAAACGGAAATGGAAGAGTTACCCCACTCCCATGAAGATTATTTAGATTCTAACAATCAAAATGAAACTGTTAATGTAAGTATTCTCCAATTTAATATTGTTGTATGTAAATGGAAATAGGTTTAATATAAAGTAGGTTCTTATGTTATTTCTGTTTTTAAAATAATTTAAAATATTTTAACTTGTTCTATAACAGAAAAACATGCCCCGTATCGTCTTGGGTGATGTTTGGTCATATTTTGGAAGAATGTAATCATTTTATCAGGGCGATATTGAGGCATATATTTCTTGTTTTGTACAATCAACTGATTCCGCGTCTGTGCCCAGCGTCAGCACAGATGGCGTGAAATTCTGAAGTATGCGTCACCTTACATCAGCGTTACATCTCCGGTAATCCTATAGTTCGAGTTTTTTTAATACAGTCAAAAGGAGAGAGTCATGTATTTTTGGTCAACCACCTGTTATTTTAAATGGAAAAAATATAATGGTTTACAAATATCAACAACCAAAACAGTCAAAGACTGTAGTTCACTATTGGTATCTATAGCATTATGGGTGAACCAACTTTGTTTAACTTTTTTTTTATTTTCCATTAGTGATTTTTGTTGAATGATCTATGGTTGTGTATGTTATTTTGAATATACCATTGTAAGTGTAATTATTAATCTAACTATATCAACTTCTTTGCATTGGTTTTGAAATTGCGCTCACGCGATTTTCTCCACCTGAAACATGTAGAGGGAATGTATCGTTGACACATTGCAGCTGTAAGGCCAACTGTGTCACATGATCTGTTTTCTTCACCGGAGTCAGGTTGAACGATATTAATTATTCAGTCTTGCATGTTCATGAACTGACAGGGAAGGTATAGTTTATGAAAAAAATCTGTATTCTTCATTAGTTTTATTTCCTTTATATACTGAAACATGGCTGGTAGATGGAAATCAGATTGAAAAATGAATTGTCTCCCCATGTGTGTCAAAATAATAGAAACCCATTTCATGCTAGTTAACGTCTGTACACTCTACAAAGCAACATCGGTCCGACATGGTCGTGCGTTGTGTACACAACATTCTCATTAAACCTGAAGATGCCGCATTGTATTTTATAAATTTGCGGTCATGAGAAAAACAAACAATGAAACAATATTTATTTGTTTTAGTGCCACCAAAAGATTGTCAAGGTAATATGTAAGCTGTGGGCATGCAACGTTGAATATTCGTTTATTAAGCGTATTTTTTCGTGTTTGTATTAAAAAAGAATGCTGAGGTGGATGATAAAGGAAACGAACAAGAAGAAGATGTAGAAGGTGGAGCTACAACAGTGGAAGAGAATGATGAAGGTGAAGCTGAGATTAAACTTGTCATGAGTGTTCCACAGCGATTTGGATTTGTGGAGAGACCGAATCTGGCTGTGAGTGGTTTACTCCTGTTATAATCATAACAATTATTTTGAATAACAAACAGTTATTTCAGTTATTAAAAGACAACCTAAAACAGTCAAAGAATGCATATTTTTTCTATAGTTCACTGTTGGTATCTTTGATGCGCCTTACTACAGAATAGTATGTAAATTCGTATTTCCTTTTGTGATTTGCGTTCAATGATCTATCGTTGTGTATGTTATTTTCAGTATACCATTGTAAGTGTAATTATTAATCTAATGTGCCAGGAAGTATATCAACTTCTTTCCCTTGATTTTGGCAATGCGTCCATTTTGAAAAGACATATTCTTGCTCTTTCCGGATGTTGCAGGACAACAGTTGCAGTTTCAATTGTTGTTGCCCAATCATTATCGCCATCTTTGTTTATATGAGACCCATATATCTCGCACATGCGCAGTGCGACGACTATCGCGCTTTAATGTTAGGGAGTATATATACATCTGGACGTTTAGAGTTAATGCATACAATGTAGTACTTATCATGTTGACTAGTAAGAAATGCATTCAGGTTTGAAAGACATTTTTAAGATGGTTATAGTTTCTGAAATATTTATATAAGTTTAACGTCTTCAGTATGAGTAGAAAATGTGTATGCGGCGTTGAATTAGGACGGATAAGTAGTCTAGACACCGACAACTAATTACCACAATGATATAATTATTTATGTTATTGATATTGCAGAGAAAGGCATGGGGGCGTGGAACAAAGAAGACTGACGACAGCAATGATGTCACACACGAGTCTGAGGCTTAAATAGAAGAATAGTGTGTGAAAGACATTATTTTATTATAATATTTGAATTGTAACTAGTATCGAACAGACATATTAACTAAGGCTGTTACACAGGTGATATTACAATACTATTTACTCAAGGTTAAAGTCAAATTAGTGATACAATTACTACCTAGACGCGCAAATATGTACACTTTGAAATATCGCTGTATTCTAATTATCTAAGTGAATAACTCACATCCTTTCCATTTTAGGAATTGAAGCAAGTCAAAATAGATTATACGATATTGTTTTATTCAAGAATACTAATAAAATTGTTTTCCATCTGCATGAATATGCCTAGTATTTTTGTGTTTTATTATCAATATTAGTGGAAGATTGAATCCTGAATATAGACACCAATAAAAGTATATCCTGAGCTGTTATACCCATCAACAATATAATACCATACACCATAGATGCATGGCATGTCACTGATAGGATACTTCATTAGATTGTTCCACTGATAATTCAATTCTTGAGCCGAGAAGAATTAATCATTCAATAGAAGAGAGCCACATTAACAAATCATCAATACAGAAAATGTTGAAGAATCCTACAACAGATAATGTAATGCCCAGCACCTGATAATTCCCACACATAGCTTGAAAGGTCGACTTTGAGAATGCCATGAAAACAAAATTAATCTACAGCAAGATAAAGCTGCACAATTTGTTTGTTCACAGGGCAATACACCTTGAGTGGTGTTCTCACTAGACGGAATAAGCCGCTGTCACAAAGCCTTTTATTTGAGAACGTCGATCGATCGTCATTGCCGCCTTCTCAAAAACACACGGAGAAACAGAAACAAAGCAAATGCATTTACCAGAGGGGACGCCATGTTGTCGATTGACCTTTCCATTTGTTCATTAACCTTTCCGTGACATGACTCGTTGAGGGCGCAAAACACCGATGAGAAAGCGAGCAGACAATTCAGCAGATTAGCTAATATTTGCACACACAAAAAAACAAACACTGTCAACACCGGCGTTTTTTAGACATGTGAGACTGTAGCTTCAAAGTGTAATCTGCTGCTGTTTTGTAACTAATTACTTGTGTACTTGTATATCTCTAGTACACCAATCACGAAACATTTACTGGGTCCGGCTAATTTATTGCATAAATTGGCAAACAAAAAAAATTATAAAAAAAGAATATCAGTATGGATAACATTGAATATCACAGTGGCGACGACACAGCGGTGGGGCGGTCGCCCTTCCAATCAAATCCAGGTGAAACCATTTGTTTCAGCAACATTAGCCCCTCAAACTGCAGGACATAGCGTTTCAGATGGTCTAGATTTCAACATTTCAAGGGGGCATGCCCGGATCCCCACGGCGCATGGGTTGGTGAGCAGATCTCGCCCCATGCAAAATTTTGTGTAGTGGATGTCGGCTAGTTCTGCTACTTCAAGGCAGTTAAGTTCATAACTACAGTCGTTGACCTCCGTCGTCTGACTTTTTGTCTAAATGTACGAACATTAGATCATTACATTTGATCAGAAAATGATTATCAAATATTTTTCATGACTAATGAAACTATGTCAAAAAACAGCAAGGTCAAAGGTGAGTACATTATGTCTTTCATTACAACATCATGGACGCAGTTTATCTGGATTCCGTAAATAAACTGAGAATACTCAGTTTCGGACATGCATGTAGTCAAATTAATAACCATGGAGATCAAAACACTGCAATAAATTAAAGAATTTACTGAATAGTTTGCAGCTTAAATATTCTATATAAACTACGATGATGCAACTTTGCCGTCAACGCAACAGGACGTCTGTTCCACGGGTGTCTGTGAACCATGGTCAGGCAGACATGTGGGGACCAGTGGCGGCGGCACCGAGGCGAAAAAAATGCGCGACCACTCGAGCCTTAGGCGCGAGGGCGGTGGGCAGATCCCCTCCCCCATGCACAATTTCGTGTCACCTCCCCTGAAAACATTCGGGAAATAGATCTCTTGATAATATCGTGCGTTTACGCCGTACTAACCAACTTGAAGTATCAATGTCTTAATCACTCTCTTCGTCGGTACAACAAGGGAATCAACTGAAAGTTTATCAACATTTGCCAATGTAAAGAAAAAGTACGATGAGCAAGATGTCTTCATATGGCGTACTATATTCCCAAGATTTGTGGGCATCCTGAATTATAAATTGTTGTACCAAAACATACTGCGCTGTACATACTATTCCAAAAAAATCCATGATTTCCATGAGGACAACATTGTGTGTTTATGTTTCCTTGACACCCCAGTGAAATTTCTACAAAATTTTCACTAACAAGCAATCAGCGCAGTTTTCAGTTTTATTTGACGAGAGAACATTTACCACTGCACATGGTGTTAAAAACAAATACATTTTGGAATTGTACAACAAAGGAACTTAGAAGATTGTCAAGATATTTGAAGATGGCGCTTTTCCTTTAACTAAGAGCAATGTACATGTTTTGTCATTCACAGTTAATAATTTACATAATTTAAAAATAAAATAAATAAAGTAGCATCCCATGCCTTTACATGTCAGTATGGTGATTTGTGATTTACGGATAAGTACAACAAAATTACATTAACGGATGTGACAGATAACTTTTACTATGAAACCCTTATCACCCCGTTGGCAGGCCAGTCACACTGGTTCTCACTACAAGTGATTATGATCCCCCTGCCAACTGCTAAGAACAGCTGAAACATGTACGAAGCCAGTGAATGTTATTCAAGCCAAAGAAACTGTATTTATTTATATAAATACACATGGACAGAGAATAGTTTCTTGGAGCACTAAATGTGACAATTGCCCTACTGTCTGTGATAAATATACCACACCAGCTACATAGCGCCCGACGTGGATCTGGGTAGGTCGGAAGAAAAGAATTGACTGAAGCCTTGCAAATGACTGAATTGTTGTCAATAGCAACAAACATACTGGGAAAGTCAAAGACAGTGAAACAACAAACAAAACAACACACAGGCATATAAATACTAACTTTCTAGGATCTTTATTGACTCCAAGTAAACCAGAGTAGAACGAGATGATCAAAGCTATAGTCCGCCATCTTTTTTCTAATATTAGATGCAACCATTATTTTATAGGGAACAACGGGTCATAACTTGACGGGACTTAACACCCATGATTTTTTAAAAATGCCTTGATCAATAAGAGTCTAAGTTACACGGAATATTATTTTGATTTTTCAGTTGACCAATAAATGCATTTGACAGGAAAATATATAAACTCTATCACAACAGCAATTAAAACAGCTTACTGCATTATAAGTATCACTTCCCTGTCAAATTAGTGGTTCATGCTTATTTGAATCTGAACATAACAGGCCAATTCTATCACACCTTGCTAGTCTTGAACTTCCATCCAATCAGAGCATTCCAAATAAACATGATGCCAATCAGAGCATTCCAAATAAACATGATGCCAAGCAAATACTAGAGGGCGCTCTGACCCAAAATTGCCAATATCTAATTAAAAAGAACTGATATATATATAGTATCCCCTATCTATGTTGGACATTGGTCTTTGTTCTACATTTATTGTAGTTCATCGTTCTAATGGAATAAAGTGATAGCATTTATGCAATATACTCATGGTGTCTGGGCAAGCAGTCGTGGGTGATTTTACGTTGTCAAGTGGAGTTTAATAATAAGGGCCATCTATTTAGCGAAGGTCATTTGGCGGCTTCTATATACATATTGGAGAATGTGTCTCTAAAAAACATGTTGGGTCATATTGCAGTTGATATTTGGTTACTCATCCATTGGAACTTAGTAACTGGATCTATCCATATATTCTCGCCAATACCTAAATGTGACTATTGATACCGCCACCATTGTTGAATAATGTGCGGAATAATCCGCAATCAGTATATAACCTGGGTGATAATTAAATTACTCACAATACGAATAGACAACATTACTTCATGTTATCTATTCACGGATATGATTAGCACTAACATTGTCAGACATTGTATTAATATGTTTTAATATCTTTTGAAATATAAATATGTGTCTTATTACCCAAGTTACAGTAAATATATGTAATTCAACTTGATATTTACATATACATTTTTTTTTATTTGACACACACTCTACATATCATACTAAAGTTACAAACAATAACAATAATAATAATAATAATAATAATAATAATAATAATAATAATAATAATAATAATAATAATAATAATAATACGAACACAAGTAAATATTGATTGACTGATTGATTGATACATTAACCCATCTTTACACATTGATTCGATCTCAAGAGCAACTTTTTCGGAGACTCAGTATTTAATTATTTGGTTATGAATATTGTACAATCCAGCCTCGCTAGCAGCTACGATTGTAGAAATGTACTCCATTCCCTTGTTTGCCCCCTACAATTGTACTCTATCACACGAGTGTCAAACCATTTGATGATGTCAATATCTCCCAGTAAGGAACTTATTGTTAATACATATATTATAGAAGAATTGCTTCAGAACACGTCACTCCAGTCAAGATGATAGTACCTGTTTTGTATAACAAAAGTATTTATCGGAAATCACTAACAACATCTACTTATTTTTGTCATTGACAGATGGCACGTAAGGCAGTTTGAATAATTTCACAAAAACACTTGTAGGTTGACATTTTGGAACTGAATTTGTTATTGTTTATAAGACAATAGATTCAAACCAGATATATTGTGACCGTTTCTAATTCGGAAAACGCCGGTCTTCACTGTTCTTCCCCGTTAGTCGTTCGTGGTAAGGAAAAAGGGTTGGGTTTGTTGGAACGTTTGGTATTGGGGAAGTAATATTGAGGAATTAAAACTCACGTTCAGCTTGAGACCGCATATGGGATTTTTGATACTGACTCACGTACACCATATAAAGGACACAGTATATTTTCGTTTTTGCGAATTTAGTGATTAATCAAATGCCTAATGGAACATTTCCTGTGTATATCAAATTAGAGTTGTGGGTC